CATGTGCTTATTAGTAAAAAAAGGGGGGTTCTTCTAGAAATCAAAAGCAAACTCATTCATCTAAACTGAAATCTGGCATCCAAGACTCCGTAATAAGACAGAATGGAAATGACAAGGAAATTGGGAAAAAAAAGTGTGCATCCATGCGTGCAGCTTTTATGTTTGTTCTGGAGGAGTTATGGTGAATTTCCTTTTCAAGAAAGTGCATGTCAGTATTTGTCTGTTGCAATGAACTGAAACTTGCACGTACACACACAAATACGCACACATCGCGTAATATATATGACCGTGACGGGCAAGAAGACACTTATCTGTCAGCGTGCAGGCTCATCTCGCTCCTGCACGGGTTATTACGACTCAATCGTGGGGCGTTTGAGTGAGCCGGCACAAACAGTACTCGGCTCAGTTCCGTCCCACTGGGGGAGAGACGATAATGCACATCTGAAATATGACACCCTTCCCTGGCACCACACTCCCACTATGTACATCCCTCTATATATATTAAAGAAAGCCGTGTCTGTGTCTGACTCCCACAGTTTGTGTTCACTGGGTCTACCTGACACCTGTGTGTGCTGGATTTATGCTTATTAGAAATCCTGGGAGCAACAAGGAGCTCTATGCATGATACAAAGATTCAAGCAGTAACTGCAGTGTCAACAGTGTCATTTGCAAAGTATATTTCACGCTTAACCCCGTATGACGTAACTGTTGGCCTGTTGTTTAAATAAGCCGTGTAAAATAGTTCACAGCTAGGACCCCATGGCAGTAAACTACAGCTGTCCCATTGATTATGGGGTAATAGCTGGATAGATTAATGGGTTTCTTGGGCAAGAGGGGAAGGGGGGTATTCAAGCCTCGACGATGAATCTGAATCATATGCACGGCAACAGCAAGTAGGGGGGGCATATTCAATAACCCGCATTCCTACCCTTAGCCATATTTCACACGCCAATTACGGGTAAATCCCTCACTAGGCTTCTTCTAAAGTGTCCTCTGACATGGAGTCTCACAGAGTTAAGCTGGATCAATTTGGAAATGTCATTTTTATGAAAGGCATAATGAAATTCAACTGTCAGGTGGTGCAGGGAAGATAGATTGAAGCAAATCTGAAGGCAAAATGAGAGGTTTAAAGGAACGTGCAGGAAATTAGACTACGTGTGATTGTGTGTGCGTGTTTGAAGGGGTGTTGCAGCATCATATTATATTGCAGAGTAAGTCAAAAGCTGTGATGGAACAGTGCTTTCAGGGCCCACGCGCTCAATATCCCCAGCCGCCGATAATGCGCAACACTACATCACCGGCATTAAATATTCAGGAGCTCAAAGCGACCAGGTGAACTTGTGCACCACACGCTCATTCATGCGCTTCTGCCAGAGACGCTAACAGCAGTTCTGAATCCTGTACAGAGAAAATTACAACTTTTGCCCTATTCAAACTAACTGCTTCAAGGTTTTAAAAAGCATTTCCCTTCGACACATGCCTCTTTGGTCTTTCTGCAGGTGAAAAGTTAAGCTTCATAGTCCCCCCACTGCTCCTTGCTGATAATAATGGGGTTTACACCAAGAGGTATGCTTTGTAGTCGTAATGAGACCTTTTTCAGCTGCTGCCGCGACAAAAATCTCTAAGTGGCCCAAAGCCAACATGAAAAAAGCAATTTCCCATCACATATTGCATTCAGCCGAGTGTGCCATTTGAATGAGCGAACAAGAGGAGGAAAATTCAAAGCGGTTAAGGTTGAAATCCACAGAATAGAACAGCAGATGTTACTTTAATACAAAATCTTTCCCTGTCCATGGTGCTGATTCTTCTCTGTTGTCTCTCCAGCTGTTAACTACTTAGGACTAGTTGCCTAGGTTGTGTCATACTGCAGAGAATTAGAGTTTTGATTTACTCTTTTGCTTTAAGGCCTATTGGCTTTTTTTTCCACCTTGGAGAGAGTTTGCATCTGAGTGCGAGCGTCAACTTACTAAAAAAAGATCAGAAAGTGAATTACATCATTGCCACATTCTTCCCTCCTGAGGCGAGCAGCATCTACTAGCATTTTCCCAGAGAGACACATACCATGACATTTGATTTTTAGAAGTCATTTGAATGCATCTTACCTGGTTATTAATGCAAAGCGCAAGGTGTTTCCTCTCCCGAGCCAAAGCCAGAGTCCCGCTGCGCAGCCTCGCCTCCTCTCCCTGGTACATGCCTCTGGAAGGACACCGGCTCAAGTTAGGACACAAAAACTCTCCAGTTGCAACAAATATTACGAGCCGTGAGTGATGTGAACAGGCTGTGCTGCTCCCTGTCCAGCTGCAGAGTAGATAACGTCATGCAGGATTTTTTTTTTCTCTCTGTCTCACTCATCAGCTGTGCGTGTCGAGGCTGCCTGTGCTTGCTGGAGGAGCTTCTCGTGTCTCTTCTAAATAGAAACTGTTGCAGTACATGATGAGGATGGTTACTTACCTGTACGTGCTGTTCCTCAGCATCACGAGCTCTCTCACTGTCCGCGGTGGGTGACACAGGCACGGGGGGAGTGAAGTGAGAAGTGAGCAGAGAGAGAGCCAGCCGGAGAAAAAGAAGACCACACTTGGAAAAATCCTCGCAGCCAATGGGACGCTGAGCGTGCGCGCGCTTTTATACCGCGTGCGTGGACGGTGTCATTTAACTTGGCGATCGGCTGTAATCACAGCATTAATTATACCGCGCGCCTCCTTCCCAGGGGAAAGGCGATCACACTGTAGGCTACAGTATATCAGCCAATTATGTCATGCGTTTGAGAAGCTTAACCGTCTGTGCGCCGAGACATCTGTGACATCCTCCACGCTGCGTTTAGACGGTCCAGGTGTGGGTTTGACGCACAAGTAGGACAATTCAATCAGGTGAGACAATTATGACATCCCCTGAAAACATCTCTAACGGGGACTTTCATACAAATCATTCGGTTACTGGGACCAAAGGTTATTCTATCAGCGTGATATAATCTTCTGCTCAGAAGTTTAAACGATGTCCTTGGTGAGGTCTGGTCTTCAGACACTTCGTAACCCACTTGCAATTTGTGGACCTCAAACAAGTTCCATCAGGACGGTCTTTAATCTTCATTTTGTTCAACCTACACTCCAGCCCGAGAACTCACTCTCCATCCTTTTGGTCCACGGCGTTGCGCAGACTTCACGCAACTTGGCCCACCATGATTCTCTATCTTCATAACTTTTGGCATGATCTGGAACTAAATCAATATTCATAATCAAAACTGACTGACTTTTTGGAAGTGTTGTTGCGGTTCATGTTCCACTTTGTCTTTGTTTTCAACTGTTGCTTCAGTAGGTATGGTGGCCAAGAACAGCCACTGCTGCAAATAAAAAAAAGAAGTTACAACGGAAGTTACTGATGCAAAAAAAAAAAAAAAAAAAAAAGAAAACGAAGCCTGCTGCAAATAAAAGAAGAAACGGTGCAGATATACAAGTCACAACGGAAGTTAACGACGCAAGAAAAAAAAAAGTGGTGATGGGGGGAAAAAAAGTTACTTACTGCGAAAATAAAAGGATGCAAATAAAAAAAAGCCACAATGGAAGTGAGCTGCCAGGGACCAATAGTGATGATGCACCGGTGTTTTATGATCTAGGCACAGAAAACGACGGCTAGAAGACGAGCAAAGAATTATCTGGAGGATGCCGTTGTAGTGTTAGCTTCAGTCATATCGACTCAGCCGCTACATGGCCTAACCAAAAGACACATTGAAAAGTTTACAAAGCGAAATTAAACAATAACCTTTCCACTTCTTTGCTCGTCTTCTCGCTGTCGTCTTCTGTGCCCAGATCATAAAACACCGGTGCATCATCATTATTGGTCGCCGGCAGCTCACTTCTGTTATGGCCTTTTATTATTTGCATCCTTTTATTTTCGCACCAAGTAACTTTTTTTTTTTTTTTTTTGCATCACCACATTTTTTTGCATCCTTTACTTCTGTTGTGCCTTTTTTTTTTTAATCTGCACAGCCTCTTTTTTATTTGCAGCAGGCTTCTGTCTCTTTTTTTATCATCAGTAACTTCCATTTGGCTTCTTCTTTTTTTGCATTCTTTTTTATTTGCAGCAGTGGCGGTTCTCGGCCACCTTAAGTATGACTTTGTTAAACCCTTTGGATAGCATCACTTGCCCAGCATGATAAATCCATGTACGCACTGTTTGTGCTTACATGGACAAAGACTTGTCTTCTTAGCATAATGGTCGTTTTCATGGAAAATAGCCGACTGTTATCAGATTGCATAAATTTTCCCCTTTGCCTTTGATTCAGGATCCCAAGAGCTGTGGAAGAAGAAGACGAGAATGCAGACCAGCATCTCTGTGCTGGAGGGAGGCAGCACAGACAGGCCCCAGCAGCAGAGAGCATCCATCAATATAAAAGCTTCTCTTACCATGTCTCCTTGTGTAGCAACAACACTTAAGCTGTTCAAGCAGTCTAGAAGCTGCGTTAAAAATATATATATTTTATTACTTTCAATATAAGATTACTCAACAACATTCAACCGCTCAAAGAAAGTCCCTGACGTTTTGAGGTAACTTTTTAAATCCCTGTAATGCACTGAAACTTATTGCAACGTCAAAACATGCCAAACAAGCAAAAGGCACTCAATAATATTGCAAATGCTGAATCTGCTGGAGGTCGTTGAAACTCATTGGCCAAAAGTGAAGCACATATCAGGGAATTGGCGCCCTCTACTGTTAAAAAACGTGATTAAAGGTATTTAGAGGCATTAGCCCGAGCTTTCAGTGGACAAAACGTGTCTATAAAAAGGTAAAGCACCCTAGGAGTGAGACAAATCAGAAAATAACTTAACATGTGGACACATTCCCAGTCTAATAAAGTGTAATGGACAGTGCTGAAGCTTAGTAAGGTATGAAGTGCTCGTTCAAAAGAGGACACTTAGTGCGCAACCTCCTTTTTGTTATTGCGTACTTGTCAGGAGCAGCAGAACCTCGCAGCATTACAGGTGCAGACAGTAAAATGAAGAGTGTCATTTCAGAACACTCCTGTAGGCCAGTGATGATACATGGGTGGAGCAGTGGTCTGGTAGCTGAGAGATAAGAGATATTACAAGAGAGTGAGAAGACAGAAAGAGAAAATAGGTGGAATACATTTCTTTGAAGAGATGAGTCTCTTTTAGATTTTCTCAGTGTGTTAGCTGTGAATTAGCAACATCTGTCAATTATATCTGTGACTAACTTTATCCAACCTCTGTAAGCGACAGTGATAAAGGCTCAATGGAAATAAATGGGTATGTGTTTGAATTGTCTCAAATTACAAGGTATGTTTTTGTTTGTGTGAGCATACCTGTGCGCCCAGCCTGGAGAGGTACCTGTTGCGTAAACCGAAAGCAGACATGGGCGCTAGTCTAGCTTGCTCACCCTCTGTCAGCTGACTGGGCCGTCTTTTAATCCTGTAGAGATAATAATAAAGTAGCCATCTTTGATGTGTCCTATAGCCAGCTCTGACACGGGTATAATTACATTAGCAATATACCACCAGTGTGAGTTGTCCTCAGGCTGTTGCTGAAGGCTGAGAAGTAACTTACCAACTTCAATGCTTAAAAAAAGTGAAACCAATAACCAAGAACTCAAATGCTTCCACAAAGCAATTTAATTCATTGGCATATTTCCATGAAAAATCTGGTATCAAATATGATTCGGTTATACAAAAAAAGCTGATTGATCAGTCACTCCTTCTCTCATTGAACAATGGGTCAGTCATAGTGATCGTTTCCATTTGTACAGACCAGAACACTTGATAATTTAACACAGATATTCTTAGTTAGGAAAGGCTGCGCTGTTAAAGTGCAAAAAACTGACAGTTCAAGAAAGCAGTGTGACCCTGAGGTCATTTCTTTATGTGCAATCATAACATTTTAGTGAACGTCTTCTCGGTTTCTTTAATTGCATTAGGCGTTGTTTTTATAGTGTAACTGTAAAGCAGTGTTTTGAGTCCACATCATCATCATCGCACATAGGTATGGTTACAAAGGTGCTCTTTCGCAGCTGAAACCATACCAAGCAACAATGCTAGGGTAAATCTTCTACATCACTGATGTGAATGCAAAATCCAGCAATGGAAGTCAAGAAAATAAGATTCTCAGCAGATATCGAGTTATCCCGTTATATTTTGTTGACTTATTTGCCTAACTGAACTGAGGTAGTGAATGTTTATCATCCACAGAGCGGCCCTGAACACATCACAGGGAGACAAATCTGATTCCAAGTTACTGGAATGGTGAAAGTTTAGTGCATCGATATTTTGTCTCATCCTTCAGATGGAGTAAAAGTTTGGGGCATTGCTCACAAATGAATTAATTACCTGAGCTTGAGCAAGAGCAAAACACAAGTCTATTTCATTTATACATGGAACTGAATCTTTAAAAAGGTCATGTTAATGAAGTGATTTGTTAAAAGCAGAAACTCTGAATATCATTACAGGGGTTAATGCATTCAAAAGTAAACTGTTCTCTTTTTGATCATTATATTAATGTACCATTTGATGATACAACAGTAAATGATTTTTTATGAACTGAACCCAGTTAAGAGCAGATAAAGGAATTAGGATATAAAAGAAATTTTAACAATCAAAGGCTATGCTCTTTTTGAGATTATTCTCCGTGAAAGGTCAATGAGACGTATGATTAAACCGTAAATGAACTCGGCTTGCCTGGGGAGAGTCGAGTAAGGAAGAATATGATTGGCAATTACTTGTGAGTGCTGACAAAGATACACTATGTGGATAAATAAATTGCTGAGCTGTCCGCGGCAGGGAAGGTAACAGAGTCTTGCTGACAACATTAAAAAAAGGATAAGTATAAAAAACCTGTACAAACGCCCACAGAGAACCTCCTATATACATATAAAACAAGTAAATTAATATACAATCCTATATTGGTAATTGAATTAACATGTAATAAAATCAAGCTCTTTTTCAGGTTATAGGCACCTTCTCGCTGAATATCATCCTCTGCTGAACATTCAAAAGGGTTAAAATGCTTTAAAAGTATTTTGACTGTCACGCACGCACGCTCGCATGCACGCACACCACACCACACCACACCACACCACACCACACCAGTGAGATGAAAGTGAACTTTGGAGATGAAGTCAGTTGAAGAAGAGTCAGAGAGTCCAGACTGTAACATGTCATTTGTCAGAGTCCTGATCAGTTTCTGATTCAGTCAGTTATGTAAAGCAGAGTCCAGACACTCAGTTCTGGTAGGAGGAGCCACAGATGACAGCACTGGGCGGAGTCAGTAGGATAGTCCCGCCCCATGGCAGTTGATTGACAGCTTTAGGGTGGACAGTGCAGCCCACTGGCTCTGAAGCCCATGACATTGTGCGTTCCCTCCTCCTCATCATCATCTGGAAAATATGAGTCACAGTGTGGACAAAGAATATGAGTCCATGTTTTTTTCACACACCATAAGCCATTTTTAACACTCAGTGATTTGAATCTAAATCAGATAAAGTGAAAAAAGACAGGGGCAGAAACTAGTGTGACTGCTCTGGCACCTAGAATGAGAAGAGGAAGTAAGCATGACCACCAAGAGATGCTGTGTCGTGTTTTTAAACACTACTGAAACCAACCGCAGGTGATGTGTTGTTGACAGGAAAGAGTTTAAATGTAGAACGAAAGCTAGAATCATTTTACCCATCTGGTCTGCTTAGAAGGCGCACAGCAACCACTTCCTCCATCAGAGCTCGAGTGGGGGAATTTATATTTCACCACACTGTTTGCTCCAGTTTTGAAATTTAAAATTAGTTATTTAAAGCCTTTGGAGTCGCAGTTTGAAGAGTATAAAAAACACTTTTTGAATGCGAGGTGTTGTTTACTAAACTTGAAGTGAGATTCAGAAGTTTCAGTTTGACTTCATGGCAGTTGTTTTTAAGTCTCTTGCCTTAAGTTAGTTAGTTGGTGGAGTAAGGACAATTTTTAAGTGCCAGAGCAAAACATGAGAGTGGATCATTTCTTTCTTCTTGAATCGTGGGCAGCTTTTTTCTTAGAGTGTTCACTTTTATGGAAATTTGCCTGCACTGTGCCTGCAGAGCCATAGCAAGTAAAACAAGTCAAATTCCAATCCGCAAAGACACAGAAGATGCGACTCTTAATCTCTGTACACACTTGAACCTTGTCAGCTATTAAAACCACGAGTTGTGGATCAATAATAAAATGAAGCATAATTCTGCTGGCCTGTCTGCAAGTCACATGATGGCTACAGTGCAAAGTATGGGACCAAAGAGTAAAACTATAAAAACATCACTTTAGAGTTGCTAAATGAGGAAAATCTCAACATCAGCAGCAGATATAACATTAACATGATGATCAACTCATCAAATTGTTTTTCTTTTTACATCATTGACTGCTCTAAGACACAAAAAGAAGATCAGATTAAGAAGTTCAGCTCAGGACACATTCAGAGTAAATGAGATCAGACAATAAAAGCCTTTCTACTCGACGACATAAGTGGGTTTTTAACCACGTTTCTGAGATGCTGGTCTAATTGTTGGATAAAGTGGGTAGAAAATCAGCGATGGAAGGTGAAGAGTCAAGGCTACTCACTCTGAATCTGGAGAGGCCTCCTTCTGGAGTCTGTTTCTGACTGCAGCCGACCGGTTTAGATCTCCTCCTGAAGAGCAAGAGAGGGAGACGGAGAGATTAAGAAGTGGCTGAGTCTGGTTGAAGGAGGGAGGCGTGATGAAGAGTGGCAGTGAAGTGAAGAGATGCCACACAAGGAAAAGAGGGGAAAAAAGTTAGTGAAGTAGAGAGGAGTAAGAGGATGAAGCAGTAGGAGAGCCTCCAGTTTCTTTGTTCTTACCTCTGAGATAATCCACAAAGTACAGCATAACCACAGCAATTAGTGCAACTGCAAGGGAGAGGAAGAAACATTAATGTAGGAATTAACTGATTGTGTCCCTCAAAGAAAACAGGCAAAGGCATCTTACTGCAAATGCAGGTGCAGAAAAACACTTCTAAAACCAGGTATCCTCTGGTGTCAAGGATGGATCCTGCTGCCATGGCAATGAGAGCAAGTCCAAGGTTCTGGATGGACTGCATGCTGATGGACAAAGTGAAAAAACAAGTAAAAATGAGAATTTAACAATATCACAAAGATAATAAACACCAATAAATCAAATTTAAATTCTCACTTTTACAATGTCAAGTTATTTATGAATTTGCTGTTATGAAATGGTTAATAACATCAACAATGAGTGATCTGAGTCTGTTGAACTTGCTGCCTATACGTACAAGCCATAAGCCGTCCCCAACTGATGCTCAGGCACCACAAATGCCACCATGGGCCACAGCGCACAAGCCAGTAAGGAGTATGAAACACCCAGGAGGGACTGGAAAACAAGCAAAGATAAGTGTATGCTTTCATCACTTTGATATACCACCACACTCCTCCAATCTAAAAGTATTGCATTCATGTGAAAACTGGATCAGTACTTTTTTCTTTTTATGGGGGACAAAACCGTGTTGGTTTAGCACAAGAAGCAGGAGCATTACCATGGCGATCCATGGGTTCCAGAAGGTGAAGGCCAGCATCATGTGAGCAGCGAGGGTGGCAATCACGGCGATCATAACCCAAATCACATTTCTCCCCGTCTTGTCCACCATAAAGCCCAAAATTGGAGACGCAGGGGCTGAGATGATGTACACAATACTGGAAAAAATAGAGAAGGAAATGAAGGATGAATATGTGGATCATAAAAGCAGATCTAATACAGGTTCCTTATTGTAGAAATCTCAGCTCTACTCTCTCATTCAAGAACTCCACTGGAGAAGCTCCTTACGTCTCACTGTACAAGAAAATCTTTACTTAAGCTGACTGCTTGTTGTTTATTGATGTAAAAGCTATCTTGGTTACATGGCCTGGTTGAAGCTGACCCTTGTAAAACATAAACAAACATATATACAGATGCTTGTGCTGAAAATGATGCAACCCCTTGAAACTGAATACTTGAATTTTGGTAAACAAATCCTTATATCACTGTTGAAATTTTAAAGTGAAAAATAAGAGCAAATCTTTAACATGTTGCTGATCCAAGGTTTTTTACTTCCCCAGTTGTGAATCTATTTTAGCATATGACCAATTCTGTTTTTTTCCCCACAAATGATAAAGCAGAATTAATTTGCTTTTTACGCTTTGGAAAAATACAAATAGAACCAAAATGCAACAGAAGCGCTCTAAAATGGAGTTAGTGCCCTCAGGTAGGTGTGGCTTTCTGGCCCTCTATGTTACCTGTTGACAGCTCTGGCCTCAGCAGGGGAGAAGTTGAATTTTTCAATGAAGAACAACCTGAAAGTAAAGACATAAAATGATGAGCGTGTTTATGCAGGTTACCCCTGGAGTGGACAAAAATGGAGAGGAGTGTTCGCACAGGTAGCTGTCACACCTCCATACATTGTTTTCTGCCCCATTTGCATAACAACAATTAGCCTTGTGAGCGCTGGTCCTGTGTGGAAAACCGTGTCAGTTGCTAGGTGATTTGAGAGTGCCTTTCGTCTGTCAAACTGCTTTCCTTTCCCGACTCCATTTGTGCAATGTCGGTTTGCCCTGCTGAACCTTCCCTCAGACACAGGCGCTGTGTCTTTTCAATTCAAGCCATGATGGTAAGCTCAGTGGGATCATGCTTTAGTATCTTTCTTTTTTTACAATCAATCATCAAGATGTATTTAATCATCATCCTTACATCTGGTTTTATGTATTATTTATTTAGCTTTTACTGTTGAGAGCTAATTACTGTTGTTATGAGGTTTTGATCAATCAGAATTGAGTATTAATACCAGCCAGGTAGTGACTATAACATGACATACCCATATGTTTTATTTAACAATAACACCAGATATGGCTACATACTACTGAATTATTCATACCTGCAACATTAATAGTAATGGAGCTGTATGTGTGGAGCATTCAGGTCAAAAAGTTACAGGTGTGGTGTGTGAGTGTGTGTAGGTGGGTAGAAGATAAAGTAAAATGAGGTGAGTAAATTACAACAGACCACTAAGGACCATTAAATTCAACAAATATATATAAATATATCCCTTGTATGTATATCTTCTATATACTACTGTCTTGTATGGAGCTGTCTCCAGAACAACGTAAAAGTAAATTAAAATTTAGGTTTATTTAGTGCAAACAAGTATTTATACATTTGCAATATAACTGGCATAATATCATTATTGGCAGATTAAAAGATTTTGATATGTCTGGCCAATAATGTGACACATTAAGTGTAAGAAGACAGCATATCTGTGCCAACAACATGTCTGCTGTTTCATAATTATTTTGAAAGGGTCAGAAACAGACAGCAGACACATTATTGAATGTCTATATCAAAAATATAATACATACTGTTTTCTAAAACAAACAGACTGTCAGAGTAAGAGTAACAGGTACATTCAAGTACAGGATAGACTTAGTGTCCTTGTGTAAGACATGCCACTGGTGCAATACTCACTGTCCCAGTCCAATAAAGGGGAAAATAGCGACATAGTATCCGACACAAACGATGAAGATGAGCCACAGGGGGAAGGGGAAGTCTTTCACGTCTGTCAGCTTGATCACCTCACCTAATGCAGCATAAGAAAAAACACAGGCAGATCAGCCAGAGAGCATTATGTGCTTTTAACATAGCGCATGAGACACCTCCTGCTCTAAAGGGAAAATTATACTGCACACCGTATTTGAAATAGCCACCCCTGTCATTACAAAAAAGGAGAAAGTGTTGAAGTCAATAAATTGTCTAGGCAGAGGGGGAATCTAAGCAGATAATGACCAAAACAAAACGTGGCCACTGAGCCTGTCTTCCACATATTGACATATGAGGCCAAAGAGGAACAACAAACAGATAAAGGAAGAAAACACTACCTGTTCTGCCTTGTTCCTTGAGGAGGATCCGCTCTGCTCTTTTGTCCAGGAATGCCAACACCAAAGCGCAGATGAGTGAAAAGAGGCAGGTTACAGAGGCTGGGAGTAAGCAGAAGACAGTGGAAGTTCTTGTATTACTTTTATGATAATTAAACAGTTTAAAATTAAGATCCCTGCTGATTAATTTTTATTGTCAAGTGGGTTTATTCAAAATGAAGTTTAACAAATGGCTGCATTTAAGACAGGCTATAAAAGAAGACACAACTGCATAGTGTGTGAAAGTGGAAGCACTTTAAGCACACTAAGGAAAAAGTTATAAGAAGTGACGCCTTTTCTAACTGATCATGTGACATACTTTTAGTTCTCTTTATTACTTCTTCTCTCTGGCTTTGCTGGTTATGTTATCTGAGACCAGTTGTTACAGAGAAAAGTGTAAGTGCATCTTAAAGGCAGAAACAGAGAGCGTGTAACCCGAGTCTTAGTGTCTAGACTTGCCTACTTCAAGGTTTTTCCCTCAAGTGAAGCACTTACTATTTTTGTGTTCTGATTACCTATCATGAGTGATGCTCCCAGAGTGGTGTGTCCAGGAGAACCAACAAGGGTTGCAACCTTGCTGTACACCCAGCCCATGATGTTCATGTTCACTGTGCTGCCCTTAAAACAACAGCATTGGAGAGGAGGGTGAATGAACTACAACGCACTATCATCAATATCTGATGATTACTTCATGTCTTATTGGCAGGGCTCTTACCACTCTAGCCATGCTCAGCTGAAGGCCAAACACCAGGTTCAGCTCCTTCCCTTTGAACCAGTTGACTGCATATGTGTTCTGGGCCACAGCCAAGGACTCTCCTCCAATACTAACCAGGGAAATATCACCTTCTTAGGATTTGTTTTAATACAAGAAGGTGTAAAACCAAACTTTTGGACAGATTACGACAGTTACTAGACTTTTGAAGCAGGCTTTTTTATTTCAAGACAACCCTGGATCAGAAACTAGAATGGCTGCTTATATAATATATGCATGAATGTGCATCATTTCTCACCCAAATACGAAGCGTCCAACTTCCATGAGCCAAAAACGGTTAACCAAGGCTCCAGTGGCGAATATTATCTGTGCAGGGTGAAGGAGTTTAAATGCTTTTTTTAAAACTCTTTGTTTCCCAACAGTGGTGTTAACTTTTGTGATCACCCTCTCTATAATAAACCCTTTTTACATTAACATTTAAATCTAGACATACCTGTCCACCGCAGACAAAGAGGGAGAAGATGACAGTCCCCAGCCTGTAGAAGATAACGATGGAGAATTACATTGATTTCTTAAGACACTTAACTTAATACGACTAATGTACTTTAAATTAATGAGACTTAGTGTTGGTACCTGATGCCAAACACTCTGTCAATCATGAATCCCCCAAAGAAGCAGAGGACCACATTTGGCCATGAGTACCAGGCGTAGAGCTGCATGAACTTTGCAGTATTCAGGTTCAGATCCTGGCACAATCAGGGAGGAAGTAAATCAGACAGTCATTATCTTACATTGATTTGTTATGGACAGAGTAAAGTTAAACTAAGTCCTGTAAAAACAGCACTTAGTGGCAGCTTAAAACGACTGTTGTGCAGATACCACTATGCAAGAAAGCCTCTCCATACAAAGACATCAATCTGTGTTTTATGTCAAAGTAAATCTTTCACTTATCAGGATTATGTCCTAGTCAGGAAAAGTGAAAACACTCAGCACTCTTGTGTACATCTGCACATTTACGAGCAATGAACTACCTGAATGACTTGGGTTTGAAGTGCAGCCGGGTTGTCATAGCAGAAGTAGCTTCCTGGAGAAGAATATTAAAATTAACAGATTGAACGAATAAAAATGTTTTATACTCAAGCCACAAAAGGCAACAACGCCGTAAGCTTTTATAACACCACATGTTACCATTCAACTTAGCCCCAAATTACCAAAATACTCATACAAGATGCTTCGGGAAGTTAACGTTCAGTGTTTTAGATGCTCACCAAATCCCAGGAAGCACATGAATACCAGGACAACCACTCGATGAAGGAGGTGGCTGGGGTCGCAGATAGCCGGTAAGGGTCTGCCGGGTCCTCTGGGTGCCTGTGTGTCGGTGAGCGGTGCATCGTCCTCTTCTTCCAGCAACCTCTGCCTCTCTTCGAAGTCCGCCATGTTCGTTTGTTTGGGATATGCGGGTGGAAAGTTTACGGCAGCAGCGAGGAAGACGTAGGAGGATCACATGACCCGGTGGTTCTGTCACGTGGAGGGAGCCGGCCTCGCTGCCGTTGGTGTAAGCGCGTGCTTGAGTGGAGCGCGTCTCGGGGGCGCGCAATAGATTGAAACTTTATTATTTTTTTAATATAAGATAAAATCCCTAACCAAATACACGATAAAGCGTAACTTGTAGAGCTGATATACTGCTGTGATTTTATCAAGGAAAGATATAATAAAATGTTATTGTCTTAAAAAAGTCGACATAATTACTTAAATCTTTAGAAACACTCCCTAAAAGCGTCCGTTGTAAAAAAATAAATCAATAAATTTAACCCTCGGATGAAGTAATTTTTCGATCAAAACAGTAACAGGGTAAAACATTTCATATTTTCATATTTCATATTCACATTTTCCCTTTTTTAAAATGAAGGGTAGTAATTTTATTGACCTTAAGGAAGTTTTTTTTTTTTTTTTTACCTCAGGGAAGTTTCAGGGCCTTCCGGTGCGTCCATTAAGTTGGCGGACTCTTACAAGAGTACCCAGATGCAGCGCCAAGATGGCGGACCCAAAGATAAAAAACCACTGCTGCGTCCGAACTGCCCGCTTGGATACTACATGCTACTGCTACGTGCTACTACTAGATCCTACTCCTACATCCTAAACTCGTTGGCCCAATTCGGACACACTAGACGAGCGGTGGGGAAAGACGACCCCCGCAGGCAGAGAGTAGGTACTGCGCCCGTGCAGACAGTGGTAACTGAAGCCCCTCATCTGCGGGCCTGGCTGTAGTACTGCAGCTGTGCAGTTTAATGATGGAATAAGTGAGCTTTACCTCCATGATGTCGCCACTTGCTCATAAAATGATTACTTGGGCAAATATGACACTATGACATGACAAAGAGATACAACCGCACATTTTTTAGGACAGTGTGTGAAGTTACATGAAACTTACATCTGTACTGCTGCGGTCCCGCCTGCTGCTGCTGCTGCTCCGACATGGTGCGCGCTGCTGTGGCCAGCCGGCGTTCGCGACGCATCTAAATAGGCAGCAGCTGGTGGCGCTAGCATCACATGCGCCTCTACAACTTTTAAGAGGACGAAGAAGAAGCCCGCGGTGCATTTTGGGTCAGTAGCATGCCCGTAGGATGCACCGAGACCAACCTACAATGTGGGCGTGTCTAGCATCTGAAGTAGTATCTGAAGTAGCATGCTACTCGCTCCGGTGGCCAATTCGGACATGCTAGATACTACTTCGACTACTACTTCGACTACTACTTGGCAATTCGGACGCAGCTCACATTTACAAAACGCAATAAGTTTCCGCATTACCTCCGATTGGCGGACCCAAAAACATGAACTTTGAACTTCTGCTTTGCGATGCCAGAACAGTAGGTGGCGGTATGTACCTACACTTTCTGACGGCAAAATTTACAGAAGAAGAAGAACTCTCAGGAAGTTTGAAAAGAAGCAAGCCGTCCGCATTCATTCAATCTCACCTCCGACCACTCAAACTAACCCTAACCCTGCATTCCATTGTTTCCATCATGGGAAATCTAAGTGACGCTCTCAAATTAACAGGAACATTGCGCAGAAGATATGTCCTGGGCAATGGACTGAGAAAACGGGCAGAGATTTGGAGGTATTTGTGCATGCTCTATATTACAGTTGAAAAGTGTATAACAGCTTTCCAATGCTGTTACTTGTGGCGAACACCTTTTTGCTTGAGTTGATGCGTGCCCGCAGGTGGAATAATGTCACATGTCACACACATTTTCTGTTGTTTTGATTTATTTACTCATTCATCATTTTATGTGCGCACCTCTCCTAATCAACCCACCCATTAAATAGACGGGCACAATAGCACCATCTGCTGGCACAAAAAATACATAACAATAAACTGCAAAACCCCAATCTGGCTCCTACAAAGTGTATGTGACAAGATGATTAACGTTTGCTTTTGTTAAATCAGGGCTTCCCCAGCCAGGACTTCGGCTCAGACTGTGGCATATTCATGTTGATGGTAGGTCATAACGAGCTGTAATGCACAAATATTGTATCTAGAATAACTTTCCAACATGGACTTTTTTAAAGTTATCTCACATGTTGTCTCATAATTTTTTTTTAAAAGTCTGCCATGTACATCGTTATGGAGTCACAGTTTGACTACTCAGTTGTAAGTACTTTTCAACACGCAGTGTCATCCTCAAGATTGTATTTTGTATTGTGCACTAAAATGAAATACAAACAACAATTTCAGCATGACATGCCTGTTTGGCGGCGATGGTGGTGCCTGTTGCTCCTGGAGAACAATTCTTTGAACAGGTAGACAGTTTAAGTAAACTAGATGTCCTAATTAACTGGAAGACAATCAATATATTGTACTTAAAGATATATTGTCATTACAGTTGTGGGAAAATCTTCGCCCACTGGACCAAAGAATGTCAAGAGCTCATTGCTGGAAAGCATACTCCGGTCTTCAGTCTAAAGAGGAAGGCAGAGCAGCAGGACATAGAGGTTAGAAAGTTGCCTTGTAAAAACAGTATTATCTCAGTGGGAGTCCTTCAAAATGCACACAGTTGTATGGATCAACATTGTCTCGATGTATTTGGTAATTGATGTTACTTTTCAAATTGCCTTGTCAAGGAAACCATGACGCAGACGGCATCGGATGTCCAAAGAATGTGCATGGCAGATTCAATGCAATTCTGTGTCTACCAGACATCGAACAACACAGGAGAGAGGTGTGTTGCAGACTCAATTTAATAAATGCAATTATCGGGGCCTATTCAGTGATTTTCCATGAAGTGACCACTTTTACATATAGTTTAAATGCACGAATCATGCAGGAAAATTATTTATACATTCAAATGTGCTGCAGAGGTATAATCAATTGGACAGCGTGTTTGTTTAATATTATGTTTGTCTCTCATTTGATCAGATTGCTTTACCCTGAGGTAAACGTCATAAAATGGGTCCAGTGCAAGACGTGCAGGGGCTGGCTGCATCAGGATTGTGCTGGGATTGAAATGGAGCCGTTTGACTGCGGGTGCGAGGACTCCATTGAGCATCCTCGGTATAACATAATTTATCAAGGAAACATAGTATCAGTCAAAAATACGAGGCTCAAAGGATGAAAAAATGAGGGCTTGCTCTTTTCTTATTTCTCTGCAGGATCAAGGATGCTGTTGACAGTTGAGGAATTCATGCTGTCTTTTCTAAGACACAGATCAAGGTTGCTTTTGAATGCACTATCAGTTGTTAAAGCCACCGTTTCTTTTTCAGATGATTACATTTTTGTCTCTTGCTCTTTGGTTTCAGACATTACACGATGATCTACTGTCTGGAAAGATCCGCTCCAACAGAATGTTCCTTTGGAGGAATCCCGCCACCTCACTCCGACTAAAGCAGCATCTTAAGATAAGGACACTAAGTTGGAGTGAGCAGCGCGTAAGTAAAAATGCCATCCATCATGAGTATTTTTACTCTCAGGGGTGTTACATTTGAAAGGTGTTTACTTTCTGTGTTTTTCTTCAATAGATGTTCGAGCTCCTGCGGTTCATTGAGGTGGCAACAAACATTTCTAAAAAAATAAAGAGAGGCGAGATTCATCTGCTTGATTTCGTTTTTGACGTTATGCTCCCAGAGGTGAGTAGATCAAACTATATAGCTTGCTTTGAAAATTGATGATATTGTTAAGAGGTTGTTCTTATTCATTTGGAAAGCTCAAGAACAACAATTAACCCATACTGCATAACTTCAATTGTTCACATTATTTGACTGTTTTTCAGCTTTTGATCAAAGCACTGAAGGAGCATGGCATCAACCGGTTCAGAGCAGAGCTGATGATGGCCTGTGGCAACGTGTTTTAAGACCCCCACCACACCGACGGCAGTGCTGAATTTTGTATATATATATATTTTTTTTACTGTTCACAATTTTGTTTGGAAAAAATTAAAGAAATCTTCAAAGCAGTTGTATGACAATTTCCCATTTCTTTACACAGTCTGTAATGATATCGCTATTCAATTGTTTTTGCTATATGGCTCTTCTGAACCTTAAAGAGATCATGTGACTTGTGTCTCTACAACTATTGTATACTTGGATTTTGCAAAGTCAAGCAATCCTGAAGAGGTTCACCAGGAAGCACACCATTTCATAAATGATGTCCCTGGTTACACAATGTTACTAAAGGATGGGGGGAGTAAATTTGTGCAGCAACATAAGCACTCTCATAAAACATAATTATGAACAACAGAAAATATGTGAGGGTCAGGGCAACATTGTTGACATTAAACGAGGTCCTAATAGGAGTGGAGAAACAAGGTCACAGAGAAGTTAAGAAACATTGATGTGCTGTGTAATAAAGCTATTGGAGAGAAAAGTTAGAAAACACTGTTATATGATGTGTAACGAGAGGTTAAAACAGTCCATACTTGTAGCAAACTCTTACAAAAGAATTTGAGTAAGATGATAACTTCTACATACATTTACCTATTCTGACAAATTATCAGAATATGAGGACATCAGGCTATATATACATATTACTGTAAACTTCAGAATTAAATCAGAACAAAACAGTAGTCATAGTTAATACATAAACGTTTTATTTTGATTTTTAGCTCAATAATAAATTTAATTCGATTCTTATGGAATGAACGGAGCAAAAAAAAAAAGGATCCGGCGACTAAATCCGACTACCTGAAGTATTTCGGCGCCGGAAGTCCGCCAACGAGAAAGCCTTTCCACCGGAAGTAATTGTTTTGGGTCCGCCAATCGGAGGTAATGCGGAAACTTATTGCGTTTTGTAAATGTGGTTTTCTATCTTTGGGTCCGCCATCTTGCGCTGCATCTGGTCACCTCTCGACTCTTACCTTTGCACGTGTCAAACTACACAAATTAATTAAAAAAATTAAGCTTGTACTGTATGAATTTCTACAGTAAAAAAAGGATGAGGATGCTCACTGCTATTTTCTGGCGAGTTTCACTGAAAACTGATTCTAAAGAAGACGATAAAGAGGTCAAACAGGAAGAGGACTGTCCGGACAGCATCAAGTAAGTGTCCTTAAGTCGAACAGTAACTTGTTATTTCTTGTGTTGTGTGCCTCGAAAATGAATCTGCATTTAAACTCAAGCTAATGTTGTGGACCTCTTCTCTCACTTTTGTCTTGTGTGGAGATTTTGATTGTGATTTATTTTTTCCTTAATTACCTTTAATTTACTGTTTCTGGCAAACTTTTTATTTATCCGCCTGAAAGTCAACATTTAGTCATGCTGGATCAGCTTAGATCTCTTATAATTGCATTTTTGTGTTACCTTGTCACCAGAGTGCTATGATAAATGAGGGCTTATGCCAGACCTTAAGTAATGCTTGTTGTTGTCTTTATTGAATAGACTGATAGAACACAACGTATCACCCCATACCTGTTTCATCACTTGTGTTGTATTATAGAAGTCCATGGCTGATTTTTTCTCAACCAGCTTCTTCTCCCTCTTGTGGCCTCTATGGATAATTGCAGATTTCAGAGACTGACCTCTTTATATTCCCTTTATGAATATTTTAAAGTTAATTTCCTGCATGTATCTAAACCTAAATGACATTCTGATCTAAAGCCAAGGTTTCAATAAGCTGCTTTAAAGCCATGTCTGCGCATGAGCTGTCTGAACATGCAACTTTTTACAAATCCTTGTTGATTGGCATCTCAAACATGCAGACTTGACAGGTTTCTGTGACGTGTGAGTTGTGCCACCTTGTTTTATAAACCTTTACACACATCAGGTTTTATGAGACTGTCAGTCCCTCCTCTGCCTGCCCCCTATTTATCCAGCTTTTCAGTCCCTGTAAGTTGTGTCTGTGCATATACTGCTTGGCAACACTATCCCCAGGGTTTGTTTAATTTCCATGAATGTCATTTAGAATTTCATATAATTCACCACTGCAGGGTCATCTGTCAGAGGATTTAATCTGAGGGTGACGGACGGTCCTTCCCCCGGCTGCAGTAGCCGCTCAGACTGTTGTGAAGCTCATTAATTTCCTGCCCAAATATCAGCCTCTGTCAAAGCAGACAGAGGGATGGAGGAAGATCATATTTCATTATTACATTAATCACAGCCACATACAGACACGTCTGTAAATCAGGTGGGAGGTGACATTAATCCTACAGGACCAGTTTGTGAATGTCCTGGAACTCGTCTCAGAGCTGTTGCAGTGTCAGAAAAAAGTCAATGTCTTTCAGTTTTATTTAAAATTAATGAGGTAGTAAGGCTACTGCAAGATCTCTATGAGAATGCTGGCAGTTTTGCAGGGTGTTATAAGATTTGGTTTGCATTAAGCTTTATTAAAATTCTCTCCTCAGTGAGATAACCTGAGCCCTTTTGGTTAGCTGCTCTGTCTTTATGAACATTAGAAAAACCCCACAGAACATCCCCAAAATGGCCAATATTTGAAATTATTATCAAAAATATGATATTTCTGGTATTACTTTGTCTCTCAATGTCTTTGGACACGTTTTTAGCTTTGAGTCATATAACCATATGCATTGACACATTTGTGGTAAAGAATCTTGGTTTAGGTGGTTTTGCACAAAGCGCATCTGCTCTGCGGTGCATTGCAGAAAGCTGCTAATGTTTCCTACAGATATTTGCATGCCACTTCATTTTATGCTTGACTTACTTCATGAAAGATTTTTGAACTTTGAATCGATACTCGTAAAATGCAACAATTTTGATACCTGTTTATACAGCGTATAGTAATACAGCAACAGAAGGTTAGTGTCCTCTGTCCCCCTAATTATTTCTGTTTTTGATTTTCAACCAACGCTGGTACGGAAAAAGTCACTTGAACACAAACCAACATCCGACACTCTGTGATAAATAGTTACCCAAGGCAACATGAATTAGATAATGTTAACTTAAATCTTTTCCCATGAATAAACTTTCATAATCTGGAGAGGTTGTGTGGTGATGTGTATCTGCTGAGAGTGTGCTTTCTGTTTGTATTTTCTGATGATCTGGACAATGTGGCCTCACTTCTGCTGTCTACTGTAAGATATGAAGCCTAAGACTGCCTCCCTGGGTGACCTGGCTTACGTCCATGGGTCTGACTGCCTACCTTTTTATTTGGTCACCGACACTTCACAGAATTTTCTGTGATACTTTATAGCAGCTGTCCATTTTCATATACAGACTGCTATATGGTCAGGAGGGTTACAGTTAGAAAAGATATCTTGACCAGATGACATTGCTGTCGTTCTCCTCTGCTTTCCTGAGAGTGTGTGTCAGACAAACATTTTATCTTAATTGGGTGCTAAAAGGACTAATCTAAATGTTTGATTAAAAACAAATACCTTTGATTGATTAAGGTTACAAAATGGCGATGAAGAGGCTGTGATAGGGGCGATGAGAGACACTGCAGACAGGAAAAGGAGCGGTCTTAACGCCTCACAATCTAAATGTGTTACCCTCAGACATGGTTTTGCAGAGGTGTACATTTTTTATTTAAAGCATGAATGTGAGAAACAATCAGAATAACTTCTCAATTTCACTTTCACCGTCTTGTTTGCTTTACCCACACTCTTCTCTTACTTTAACTCCAATGTCAGCTCACTATTACTGCTGGCTCTCTTTTACTTGCCTTAGCTTCAGGTTATAAATTTGAATTTTTTTTTCTGTTCTCCAAAACCACTCAATATATTAAAATAATGGAGATTGTATTGTTTTTAACATGTGATTTTTAAAAGTGTTGGGTGTTATTTATACCACTATGCAGGAGAAAAGCAAAAGAAAAAACAAACAAAGCATCTTTGTTATTTCTTATTTTCAGGCATAAAACTCAACAACTGTAGTATCTAAAATAATATTTTTATTATCATTTGCTATGTAAAGAAGTTACTACTTCCAGCCAGTACCCATTTTCCCCTGCTTTGTTATCGTTCAGTCCATGCTTAAGTTGTGTGTATGTTGCGTAATCATTGGAGACTCCATATATGCTCAACTTGTTTTCCCGTCGCCAACATTTGATAGAGGGAAAGAACAGCTCCAACAAGATTACAGAAAAGGAAGTAAAACATGATAGTAAGCATAAGAAAGGAAATGTGCTGGATGACTAAGCATGTAAAAGTACATGGTAGTTAAAACTGCATCAAAAACACCACTTTCTGACAGCATGACCACACGTGGATGTTTTTTCTTCTCTTTCGTTTACCCAGCATTGTCCATTTATAACCTACATTAACAATAATATTTTACAACCTTTTGCATTGAGATAAAATTCTATTTACATGTGAAATCATACATTTCTTCTCCCTTGACAGTTACACTTTTTAATCGTGTCCCATTGTACATTGTCCTGTTTGTTACTGGGACATCCCGTTACATGACAGTTGATTACTTTGGGCCATCTGTGACATCTCCATCTGAGTTGATGTCGCTGTGGGAGACTCCATGGTACCTTTGTAGAACGGCCTCAGACAAAGGGCAGCTGTCATTTTTTTCCTGAAGACCTTACACAAGAACACATAGATGAGCGGATCCAGACACACGTTGGTAGCAGAAAGCCATAAGGTAGTTTCCTTGGCGATGTAGAGTGCGTGCTGTGCCCGGCAGTGACTTGCCATGCTGCCCGTCTGGGTCAAAGTGTAGGGCACACGGGCAAAGTGAAACGGGGCGAAGCAGATGAAAAACACCCCCACCACAACAAACACCTTCGCCTTGGTTCTGCGAGTGGCAGCTTGAGATTTGCTCTTTGAGGCTTTGTATGACTCATAAACCTTCTTGCTGATGAAGGTGTAGCAAACCACCATCAATGCCAGCGTCCCCCAGAAAACCACCTGTAAATACATGTCATTATTATTACGAGAAAGAGTTGAACTTTATAAAAAGCTCTAACCAACCATGTCAACAGCTGCATCACAGAAGAGTCTTATAAATCTTCATAGCAAAATAAGTGCACTTTAGGTCAATTAATATATAAGTGAACATGATACTTTCAGACACTCCTTAAAATACATACCTAAGCTTTTTATTCCAAGTTTCAGATCAATTTTACCTAACTGTCTATACCAGTGGTTCTCAACTGGTCTCACTCTGGGACCCACATTTTCCCATGGACCTTAAGTCGTGACCCACTTTTATAGAATTCAAACCAAGCAATTTATTTTTTTTTTTTATAAAAAACCTTTAAAGACTCTAATCTTTAACATAAATCCACTTGTTTTATTGAGTAAAGTGCATTTCAGAGCACATGAAGGGGACGACATGAGGAAGACAACTACTGAAGTTGCATACACAGAAAATAATAAATAATAAATATCACATTAAATATTTACTTTTTTGACCAGCTGTTCATGACCCACCAGTTGAGAACCACTGGTCTATACCATAAATTTAGAACGAAGTGTAGCTGGGGTGTAGCTGTTACTGTTTCTGTACTGAAATGTACTTTTTTTCTTTTATGACGAGTATAAAAGCTTGATTACCACAGGAAACTCTAGTTACAGTGAAGACAAGTATTTATTTGAGTAAAGAAATCTACACGTAACAGTTTTCCTATATTTTTATAACATGTAAACAAGCTTAGATACAGGTTTGTTGCGTTTTTACAGCCAGGCTAGCTGTCACCCCTGTTTCTGATTTTAGTAGATGAGTTGCTTTTTTAGCTTTATACATCCTAAATCAAGCCCTCAAGGGTTTTACTGATCTGCAGAAAGTCTGTGATTTGTAATATGTACCTGACAGAAGTAGTTGAATCCTTCATGCCACAGCAGACCAGCTCTGCTCTTCATGGAAGTGCACTTCAGTCTGCCACCAGACAATCGCGGCGGCTGGTCGCTCAGGATTACATTTGGCAATGCAAGAGAAAGCATCACCACCCAGATGACTGCACTCAGCAGCTGACCCACTCTGACCCGCTGCAGAATACACTTTCCAAAGGGCCTGACGATCTTCAGGTAGCGGTCCAGACTGATGAGGCCCAGCAGGAGGATGCTGATGTACATGGTGATGTAGAAGAGAACAGCAGAGTATCTGCAGTGGAAGGCACGGAGCCGCCAGGAACCCACACCTGCATCGCTTAGGACTCTCAGAGGGATGGTCAGAGTCATCAGCAAGTCGGCCACCACCTGTTAATGAAGGATTATTTGTCTGGGTGTTTTCTGCACAGGCGACAAGATCTTTGAAACAAGTGCCGTCTTTTCTTACCACATTCTTCAGAAAGACCACAAATGTTGAGGTGCTGGGGATGTTGAAGAAGATCCATGCAGCCAGGGAATTTAGTACCAAGGCGAAGATGAAGAGGATGCTGTACAGGCAGGGGAAGACCACAGCTGTCACACTGGTGTCCCGAACACACTTAATTGACGTGTTTGACAGGGTGGTGTTCATTTTCTAATCTTTGGTGGACCTCTAAGGAAGACAGAGAAGAAGAAAATAATGAATGATGGAGTGATCGAAAAAGCAACACACCTAATATCATAAGTAGCTTTAATTCATACGGAGACATAAAAACGTTATGTGTGATTTACTGTCATAGGTTGTTTGAAGATCCTTCATATAAACAGAGATCCCACAAACTTGTATGTGGTTAACTAACTACAATATTGTATTTATTTAGACTGAAGTGTTAAGATGTTTATGCCACATTTTAATCAAGACCACTTCATAAAGCGCTTATTTTTAGTAAAACCGGTGAAAAGTCCATGCACAATTTCTCCTCATCTTTAGACAAGGTCTCTGTTTACTACGGCTTCTGATCCAGTCTCACAGTTTGACCACATAGCAACATCTATTACTCAGTGTCGTATGCATCTAAAACAATCTTCTCCATTTGTTCATTGTTAGTCTCCTTCCTGTCTGACAGTATATCTGCCGGGCTTCTTTACATTGAAAACTTCACTGCTTTGAATTACATTGGGCCCTACAGCTGGTACCGTGGCAACCAGGACATGCAATACTGCTCAACATTTGTCTCTTTTAGCGAGTATATAATGTTAATTAGGTCTGTTACAATGGAAAAAAGTGTCCAGCACAGATTAATATTTAATCTTACAGATTTATAATAATTGCGTCTTACCTTCCTATTGTGTCCTTGTGCTCTGTGACTGCAGGGGATGTGAAAACTACTGAAGAAAGCAGCAAATTAAAGCACCTCTCCAAAAGAGGAAGAGTGAAATATGGTTTCTTTTTCTTCTTTTTATCCAGAGGAAGTTAACGAAACAAAAGAAAAACCCAAAGTTTGAAACCTCCAAGTGTTACTATAGTTCTTAAACCTGCAAAGAGGTTTCAGCCTGTCTGTGTTTCTCAGTATTTCTCTCTCTCTTTAAGCGCATGTGTGTGTTTGATGCTCTGACAATGGGTGGTCTCTGCAGCTACTGTGTGCCTGTCTTGTCACAATCCCAACGAGTTTGCCAGTCTCCCTCCGGGTGAAAGCCCCCTTTCCTTCCTCGCTTCCTGTTCCGATTGTCTGCAGAGAGCCTTGTTCTGATCCGTGCCAGTCCCCCTTCCTCCGCGGGCTTGCGTCAGTCTCTGTGGCAGTTGACAGGCGAAAACACTAAAGCCGCGGGCTTGCTGCTCGACACACATCTATGGACCTCCTGCACTCCCTCTACCCCCTCTCCCCACCCTGCAGCTTATATACCCCACCTCTATCTGTCCTTTTTTTTTCATCTCAGAGTTGTGGCTTTTCTTTTCTGACAGTGATGTTAACACTGCGCTGCTGTCTTGTTGCATTTTGTTATCACTTGGATTTATTGACCAAAAATGCAAGCTGTGAGAGAAGTAGGAGAGACTGTATTTAACGTGACACACTTGTTTTTGTGTTTTTGAGAGGGAACATCGCCTGTAACTTCAGACAAATTCAATTATTATCCAATCATTATTAACAGTTTAAGTGACTGAACCCATCCTTTCACTTATTTTGTTTCATTTTGTTTGGCTTTCTCAGAACTTAATCCCCCTTTGTGTTATCTTGTTAAAAATAGCACATCCTGAGAAAAACACATCCTGTGTGGGTTCACTTGGATAAAGACCAGGAAATATGAGCAATAGGGGGAAATAAGTATCTGAGAAACGTCATTTATTCCCATTGAAACCCAAGTGAACTTTGAACCGAATGACCAGAAAATGTTCAAGTTTCATCAGAGCATGTTTTACTTAAATGACACAGAGACATGTAAATTCCTGACCCACGAAAAAGGTAAATAACACATAAAAGCCATAATTAGGTAATCACACCCTTATTGCAGCATGTTCACACTGTGCCTCAAGACCAACCACATATTACTACATTTACCAGCGGCCAAGTTTTTGCACAATTTGAACCCAAAAGTGTCAAAAAAGATCAGCTAAAGTTTTATGCAGAAAGTTGCATTTTGCTGTGCTTATGCAGCAAATGTTTAATGAAAATAAAACCTCAAAAAATTAAAATATGTAAAACAAAACATTTTAATAATAAAATGTGTTTTCTGACAGTTTTTGTCATAATCCAACACTGAGCACAATAATATCTGAACATTACAATTTGATTATTTGCATGCATCTCTCACTCTGCTAAGTCAGTAACTTCTCACGATGAGCACTGATACGCTTGCAGCACAGTGATATTATTGGCTGGTAAACACATCCGCAGGACCTTTTAAAATGCATCAACCTTTTTTTTCCTCTATAACTGCTATCAATACACACATCAGTGTGAGATGCAAATATCAACTCGATTTATCTTGCTTTGCATGGTAGCATCATTTACGGCTTTTTTCATACTGTAGAGCTCAATTTGCCTTACTTTATTTTACTATAAAAACTGCGGTCAGTTGATAAAACACCAACCAGCATCACACTCACCCTAACACCATTTATCTCCCTCTATCTTGGATTTCCTGTCAGTGGTTTCAAAAATATAAAGTGACATTTTCACAGGAAACAAAATAGCAGAGAACATCTTCAACACAGGTACAAAAAATGAAAGCAGACTTTTCTCAAATCTCTGTATAAATAAAAGTATGAGCTAAACTTAATCTTATACTAGAAAAGCACTCGGAGAGCGCAGACCTCCTCCAAGCAGCTCATGTCCCCCCTTATATTGTGATTCACACCAAAACTTTTACTGTTACGCGTCTTTAATTAACTTTTATTTGTGTTTAAACTGGTATGTTCACCGTTCATAATGTTCCTAAAACTAGAAATGCCCTGACCCGGATTCAAACCCAGGACCTTCTTGCTGTGAGGCGACAGTGCTACCCACTACACCACTGTGCCGCCCATTGGTTATCTTTCAGCATTGAAAATTCCAACGACACCCTTTTTTTTCTGTGTTCTGGATCACATTATCCAGAATTTTGTCTGGATCAGGATCAACCTTTGACACCTCATAAAACTCATTGAGATCCTTTTGTGCAATTTTTTACTAAAGACTCTGGCCATTTTTATAGAGTTAAATGCAAAAATTCCAAAATTTGCCCTATCTCACAATGATAAAGAATCCTTAAAAAAATTCCTGGATCCAGAAGGCGATCCGGATCACCACCAAAATTTAATGAGATCCTCCTGGGGCTGAGACGCACCTCTGGTGAAAATTTCAGGTCAATTCGTCTGTAACTTTCTCCGCAAAGTTGCTAACAGACAAACAAACTAACAAACAAACAAACCAACACTACCAAAGACATAACCTCCTTGGCGGAGGTAAAAATTAGTCCAAAAAGATGGATGACAATACGGTTTCCTAAAAGACGTAGAGCTCCCATTACTGTCTGGCTGCAACACAGATAATTACTGCTTCCTCCATGTTAACAAATAGGACATGAGTCAAACTTCAAAAATCAACACACATAAAAAATAATCTTTTTCAAACATTTGTCTCTGTCATGACAAATAGTTCTTATCAACCTCATTGATGCTCATATACATTTCTGTTTCCAAATTAGCATTGACTGTATTGAACTGTGGGCTTACTCTACTGCTGCATCACTAGTTTACGTACTCAAGTTGCTCAATGTGCTTTTTCCTTAAACAAATGAACATATTTACATTCTGTCATCACTTTTGAACATAGGAGGTGTAGATGTGCCATCCATCCTCACAATCAATGGTCTGTTCTGCAGTAGTTCTGTGAGCTCTGTCAGAGTCTAGTCTGTGGTACTGTGCTGTCTACCTTTCCCGTTGCACAAAATCTGATGGACAAACGTCTCATCAGTGACTCTAGTTCTTCTTTGAACTCCCTGCACAGAAACACATAGAGAAGTGGGTTCATACAGATGTTTGTGGTGGCAAACCACAGGCTGATCTCCTTGGCAAACTTTCCTAATAGATAATCACAGCTGGTCTTGGAAGAATAGCTGACTTGAGCGAAAGTGTATGGGATCCTGATGATGTGATATGGACCAAATGACACGAAAAACACTATGAGAACTAGAAAGACGCGTAGTTTGATCTTCTGCTTTCCCTGGTTGTTGTTGCTGCCAGAGTTTCTGAAAGACTGAATGACTTTGTTTGTGATGCAAATATAGCAAACCGCGATGACCACACTGACGAGCCAGAAAAAAACATTCAGGAAAATCACCGTCCTCTCGTGTGTTTGAAGTCCGGCTTCTCCTTTCAGCGTCATGCAGCTGCTGATCTGTGTCAGGTTGTCAAGTGATTGATTACTCAGGATGATATTGGGCAAAGCTGAGCCTCCGAACAGTATCAACCAGACTAAGACTGAGACTACTTTGCTGAGGGTTACATTACTGAACAACTTGGAGTGGGGCATCATGATCTTAAAGAAACGGTCCAGACTTATTAAACCCAACAAAGCGATACATGTGTACAGCGTGCTGTAGAAGGCAGCGCTAAAGTAACGGCATGAAAGTGCAAATAAATCGCTCGATGCACTCTGGAGGTCACTCGCAGCTTTGATTGGGGCAATTATGGTCATAACAATGTCAGCAGCAACTAGGTTTTTCAGGTACACGATAAAGGTAGAAGCAGATTTGAGGTGTATGGACACCCAGGCTGCTACGCCATTTAGCAACAAAGCTAACGGGAAAATAATAAAGTACAGAACGGGGGTGATGTGCGAGTCGTAAATGAAACCTTTACAACCAGAATCATTTTGGAGTGTTTCAGTCGGTGACGTTGCTGCACCTGGAAATGGAAATTCATTTTAGAATACACAGTTCAACAGGTTAAGAAACATTATCAGGCTGTGTCAACATCCTGTTGGGTTTGACAGTCTCTTTTTCACTGTGATGAGAGTAGCGGCTGGCTCCTTTAAGTCCTGCACTCACCCTGTTGGCTGATGTTGGATGAATTCATCCGTGGGTCCATTGTCTTTTGCCGGCTTATCTATGTCGGGGTTGCAGGTTATGTAAAGACAAAGGAGTGGCTGGTTTAGGGGTCACTGTAGATACATTTTCAAACACTTATATTACCTTCAATCATATCATAATCTTTTCTACTATACTGTATATAAATGCCTTTGCTAAATGCAATGACTTAGTGCTCTATGGTCTCCACAATGTATTTACTGGGAAACATCCTTAAAACTAAATGAAAAACACATTTTTTTACATCTGAATTCGATTTCAGAATTTACTCATGTGTGCTTATTATTCTTTTTTAAACTTGTGTAGGTAGAGCCAATAAAACACTGCCAAATTTTCTGATTTAGTTTAATGTAAGAGAGAAAAAAATAGCAGAGCATAAAATGTTGTTTCAAACTAAAATCAAAACTAAGTCTTTGTTTTTCTTGGCTGTAAAATCAGTAGATTTAGAGTAAATTCAAGTTAAAATTTAAACTGTTCAATATTAATAATTTCTTGCGTTGTGAGCATTTAACCCATAATATATGTTACACCTATTCACACCACTGTACATCTGATAAACAAAGCATCATGACTGAGTCTTTCAAAAAGATTTTTTTATCAGCTACTCCACCGTGAACCAAACATGATCAAGTAAATTGTGAAAACTACTTACAGTTGATGACTTCCCTCAGTCCTCTTAGAGCTACAAGATGGATCAGTGTGCATGCACTGACGTGGTAGGTGTTTAAGAAGCAGTGTTGATTTACCTAAGAAACAAATCGACATTTCAGCTGTGAGGACACAATTCGGAACATATGCAAAAATAGGAAAAGCTTACTGGTCTTTAGCCAAAAACAGAGCCCACGTTGTTCAATCCTCCCAGAGTCAAAAAAGCAGAGATTGGATAATTGGATTTTTTTAGGTGGCCAAAAAATTGTATTTGTCTCATCTTTTATACTTAAAATAAAAAGACTTTTGTGATTTAATTTTTTTCAGACATGTAGCCTGAGATATCCCACCTGTCTGATGGTCATCCTCATCCTCTGAAGACATTAACCTAACAAATATATGCTAATAAAAATGTGGCCTCAGCTCTCAGCATCATTTGAAAGACTAAACACACATTAGATCTCCGACTCCCCCAACAAAGTTATGGTTCTTACAGCTGGCAAAATAAACTGGATTTACATTTAAGATATTGTTGCTGAAAGTGATGATGCTTTAAAAACAAAAACAAACAAAAACCTAATCAAACAAGCCCATTTTCTACCCTTTCTGCTGCTTCTTTTTCCTTGTTTTCTTTCTATCTTTGTGGACCTAACGATTGGTTGCACCATTTACTCCAAGATTTGAATGGCTGGTTCAACAGCTGAGGGCGTAGGGGCGTTAGCTGACCAACAGGTGGCCTCAGTTGTCAAAGAAACCAAACAGGCCACTCTGCAGACAAGAAAGGGAGTTCAAGTGCAAAAGTCCCCTAAAGCATTTCATTTATTCTTTCAGTTCCAGCTCAACATTTAACATAGTCGCCTAAAGTCAAAACCTGCATTAGAAACCAAATGTAACGCTGCTGTGTGTTGCAATCTGTAATTTTAAAGCTGGGCACTAAGAAAACAGTGTTTTGCGTACTCACACTTTTTTACTCAGAGTCATTCAAAGTATGAAAATTGTTCAATATGATGATGAAAACCTTTATTAAGTTGTTTTTGGCTACTTAGCATTGTCATATTATGGGAGAAAGTATAAAGGGTTAGAGTTAACTTTGATAAGGTATCAGGCAATAAAAGTAAAGATGACGGAGGGGAATTCTTCAAATCTTCCAAACCAAATCCCTAAATATAGGGATCGCATCACTTATCAGCACATACCCTTAGTCATACTGCTAATGCCTTACTGCCCAGGCACAAATAATAGACAGCATCTTGTATGCAGTTTGGCAGGATTTTTGGAAAATGTATCACCACTTGACCTGACAAATTTGTAACCAGCACTGTAACGTGGATGCTAACCTACTAACAGGGTCTGAGACTATGCTAGCTTTGCTAATATTAGCCACGCTTGGCAGACCAATTCTAATACTTCTGTGATCCTGAGTTTAAAAGTGTTAACTTAATTGTTCTCTATTCTGACTCTTTGCCCAATTTTTTGCCCACCTTTAAACTAGTCAGGAAGTGGTAATGTAAATTTCTATCAAAACAACAATATAAAATCCATTTGTTTATAATATCTCTTCTTTATATGACGTTTGGGGTTTCAGGTAAAACTGCATATATGATTTATAAATCACAGGAAAGAACATTTAAGATGACTTCACACTCAGATTTATTAATTTCATTCTCACAACAACATCAACAGGTAGATCTTGACCTTTGAGTTCCACATAGAGTTTGTGCATTAAATATTAAAGCCCACTTCTACTTACATTTTCATTGTATTTAATTTTATCTGTAACTGTATAATTTAATCATTTCTCTACCTTGTTTCTTTGGGGATGTCTCACAAGAAGGATGGGTTATTCCACTCACTCTTAACACTAGAGGGCAGCACAACATAGAGATATGTATAGATTAACAGTTACATACAGTGTGCAGTACTAAGGTCTCTCTTTTCATGTTATTGATGTTTCTCTAACCATTAAACACAAAAACAAACTACTTATTCTCCAGTTTTAACTACTTTGTGTCTAAAACTGTAGCTTCATTCTCCTCTTTTTCACTTGAATACAACCCAAGACAGATTGCGCCAGCTTTCTTCATGTCCAGCAGTTTTTCTCTGAACTCTCTGCATAGATAGATATAGAGAAGAGGGTCCAGACAGGCATTAGTAGAGGAGAGCCACAAGCACAAATTCTGGCCTATGATCATCCATGGTTGGATGTCATCAATGCGATGAAAGACTTCATAAAGCGTAAAGGGAATACGCATAATGTGTAAAGGCACAAAACACACCAAAAACACAAACAGGATCAAAAACACTCGCAGCTTGGTCTTCTTCTTTCCTTCATTGTTGTTGCTGCCAGAGTTCCTGTAGGACTGCAGGACTCTTAGGGTGATGCAGATGTAGCAAAACATGGTCAGTCCAGCAACAAGCCAGAAAAGGACCTCCATGAACAGAACCACAAAGCTGTGAACGGTCACACCAGCCCGACTCTTTAGTGATATGCAGAAAGCGCTTGTTACATTCTCAGGACTCTGGTCGGTCAGAATAATTGTTGGGATAGCTGTGCTGCCAAATAACACTATCCAAACTGTGGTGGATGTAACAACACTGAAGGTAACGCTTTGTCCCAACACTTTTCCACGTGGGCGGACAATTTTGAAGAAGCGATCAAGGCTGATGAGACCCATTAAAGTGATGCTTGTGTACAAAGAGCAGTAGAAAATGACAGAAGCGAAGCGGCAGTCGAACGTCTGCAGCCACACTGTTGCTCCGGGTAGCCTGCTAGCTGCCATCGGCGGGATCATCAGTGTCATGAGCAGGTCTGCGGCCACAAGGTTTTTGAGATACACGATGAAGGTAGAGGTGCACGGAAGGTGTAAGGACACCCATGTTGCGACCCCATTGAGCAGAAACGCAACAGGAAACAAGAGGAAGAAAAGACATGCAACAGCCACATCCAAGTTCACCATGTTGAAAGAAGCAGTGTCAGGAGCAGTTTTGTTGGATGCCATCTTTAAATCTGCAAAAAAAGGAGACAAATGTGTTTGTCAGAGAAGAAGAATTCATAGTTTCTGCACATTTGCTGATTTTCAGCTTAAATCTTGTAGTACAGAACTCTTAACATAGGGCCCTGTAGACCAGATCCATGTCCAGGTCATGTACTGATTGTTAATACCAATTATGTTTCAACAAATTTGGAAGTGAAATGAATTGGTTTCATCAATTTATTCAAGAGTTGATTTGCATGAGTTATGTATAAAAGCAAAGTTCAAGTGATGAAGAAAAATAACATCCAGTGGACGATCCATTTAGAGATTTTTAGAGCGATTAATTGAGCTAAAGTGAGGTGAGACTTTACCAGAATCAGCCGCTGCCTACGACTTGTTTTGGACTCCATCTGCAATAAGTGTTTCCCAGCTGAACCTAATTTGCATTCATCATTATTTAAAACAACATTTTTTTTTACTGTGATTTGGTTTTTGAATGCTCAACCAGAGGATTTGAATGCATCCTGGAACCTGACACTTACACTTTTGACACTGAATGGAGGGAGTTATGCAATTGTTGGATTTGTTTTCACTCTGCTTAACAGGAGAGGCCATTTACTCGCATATTTAACAAAGAGTAGCTGTGCATTATTCTAAAAGTTGCTCTTTTGCAGGTCGCTGTAATTCAAAGTTTGATTAATTAGCTACTACTTTGTGAAAGTGATGTGGTTTGCATTGGCAGCTAATGGAATGAGCTATGACAGTCATAACTACCTACTGTTATAGCTGCTAAGTAATAAAGTGTATTAATATTTTAGTTCAATGAAGGTTTGCAAGACTGTGCCATATTTTCTCCCATTAAAGAAATCATCAAGTTGGATTATTTTAAGCAGTTGTGTCTCTTCAAGAGTACGATCAGAGTTTGTTACTGCTCATTACTATTTCATTTTGAGAGCGGTCACTCAAAGTGTTTCAGCTACCACAGCACTAAACTAAATAATTAGATGAGTCATGTTTTAAACTAAAGCTTTCCTATGACTCATTTCATGTTCAATTTCAAACCTCCCACCTGACGATTCTCATCAGCTAAAACGCTAGCAAGTGAAAAAAAAAAGCTGAACAACAAAGATATTAGGTCACTCACCACCGACGGTCATGTCCTTATCTCCACACACTTACACCTGACAGGTTAATACCTTCAAAAGCTGTTTGACTAAGGTTTTGGAGTCTATTCAACCAGAAATATGCAAATCCATGAAGTTAGAGCTACCGTGGAGTAAAATATTCAAATTGCTTAAATTACGCTGCACCGTGTTTTTACAGGTGACACTGGTGTCATTTCTGTTTTTGAACTTGTCTTGAAAAAAATATGAAAAACCGCTTTATACTCTTTAAAAGAGTGCGATAATATCCGTTCGGAGAAAATGTTACCTTAAACCTTTACTTTTCCTTTCAGTCAGATATTTACTGCCACACTCCTTTTATAAACTACACAGCCCCACATGAGTAGAAATTACCCAGACACTCAGGAGGCTCCAGTTTGCTATAACCACCTGCTCACTATACAGTACCCTGCTACTGAAATAGTTTATTTATACAGCTAAACAGTGCTCCCTTAAATTCCATTGTTAATGAATCACAAGCCTACTTTTCTGCAGAGATGTATGTCACTATAGAGGGTTGCATTTAAAGTAACAAGTCATTTTATTAAAGAAAAAATTCATTCTTACAATAAAAAAGGTGTATATCAGTATCCATATCTGCCAGAATAGGTTTAAAAATATTGGCATATCAAATATAAGCAAAAGTCCAATAATGCACACCCCTATTCTACATAAATGTAAAAAAATAACAACACAGATGTATACAGTATTCACATTTACCTTCTTTATGTTGTTAAAATCCAAAAGAATCATGCACATATATATTCAACAACAAATTAAAATACAGTGACATTTGATTATTTTGAGAGTTGAGGTTTATTTTATAGTTATAGGACACTCAAAGGAAAGTTATTGGTACTTTATCAGCTTGTGAACGATTTTTTTTGTACTTTTTTGGTTTCAAAGATACAGTTCACAAAAGTATAGAAGAGGAACTAGTTATTTTTAACATGAAAAGAGAACAGAAAGAGCTACTCAAAAACAAACCACTGTTTTTCCTTTCACTTCAACAAAAGCAAGGAAAACAAACTTTCAGTGTTGATTTTGACACTTGTATCCACTCTCACTGCCTTTCTACAACGGAGATTAAAAATTAATCGATAAACTCCATAAACACACAGTTTCTCCTGCATGTTTTAAGTGTACAGTAATGCAGTACTTTTGTGATAGTCATGCACACTGATGAGTGCACAGTTCTGTTTGTAGGTCAGTCTGATCATGCTGGTTTTGATCACAGAATACTGTAGGTCACTGTGTTTTTCACTTCTCTGAACAAAGAGTCTTGATTGGTTTCAGTGGCCCTACATTCACCCAGTGGAGTCTCTCATGGGAGTGCAGTCTGTGTCTGTGTCTGTGTCCGACCCCCTCTTTAGTAACCAGCTGCAGGTACCAGGTGGGAGCTTCAGGCTCTTGAACAGAGTGGTCCTGAAAGACTTGCAGAGGAAGAAATAGATGAGAGGATCCAGCAGAGCGTTTGAAGATGAGAGAAACAGGGTGCTTTCCTTCAGCTGAAAGAAGAAGAGTTTGAGTTTGCAGTCAAAGAGGACCACTCGGGTCTGGCTCATGGTGTACGGCACGCGAGCAAAGTGGAAGGGCACAAAGCAAACAAAGAACACTGCCAGAACCAAGAACACATTTGCATTCATTTTCCTTTTAGCCTGCCCTGGCTTTCGAACTGTTCCCCCACTCTGTGCTTTACAAATAGTCCCTCCAGGGCCCTGGGATTTAGTGCGGGCGTATGATCTGTACAGCTCTTTGGTGATTAAAGTGTAGCAAATAATCACAGTCACCAGGTTACTCCAGAAAACAACCTGACAGACATAATTCACCACCTCATGCCAATACAGCCCAGCCGGAGTCTTCAGGTCACTGCACTTAAAATTTGGAGACTTTGGAGGTTTACTGGTTAGGATCACGTTGGGCAGACAGAGAACCAGTTGGAAAGTCCAGATAGCTCCTGAAAGGAGTTTGCGACGGGTCAGCCGAGCCGAGTTTGTCCCTCTGAAAGGCTTGAGGGTTTTTCTGCAGCGGTCTATGCTGATGAGGCCAAAGAAAAGGATGCTGATGTACATGGTCAGGTAGAAGAGGACTGAGGAAACCCGACACACGAATATACGCAGTCCAGTGGAGGCGATGTTAGAGTCTGCCAACACCTGTGAAAACAGAGACTTTACTGTTTAGTATTTGAATTCAAAAACATTCACAAACATTTGGGATGCCAAATTGTCAATGAGGTATTTTAGAGATGAAACATCTTGAATGTAATTTAACTAATTAACTAATTCATATGAAAACAAATAGGAAATGTGGGATGCCAAATTGTGACAGAATTGATTTAGAGCTGAAATGTATGTAAACCTTATATATACCTTATATCGAAATACACAGAAAATGTGGGATGCCAAATTGTTTAAGAGATGAAACTGGAATGTTCAAACCTCTTTGTCAAAACCAAATTTATTTCTAGACATACAAAGAAATTTGGGATTCTAAATTGTGAACGTGTCACTGATGAGGTAAATCAGATAACTGAAATACTGAAAACTTTACTTGTATGTAGTATATAGATACAAATTGAACATTTGGGATGCCAAATAGTGGATTAACTATTTAATAAATGGATTAGATGACCTACTTTTTGCAACATTTTCTAATTGACATAAATTGAATATTAGGGATGCAAAATAATGAATAAATGGCAATATTGGCAAAATATCTATACCTTTAATTTAATAGCCATTCACACATATATATTAATAAATCAGCATTTTTTGATGCTAAATTTTGAAAAACAAAACTTTCGCCAATCTTTCTAGAGTGATTCTTAAATTTATAAATTACTTTTTTTTTAAAGTAAAACAGCAAATGATGATTAGATAAGAGAAACCTAGAAGCTCATGTCTTACAGAGAAATTACTTTCTTTAGTGACCTTTTGTAACCTTGAGAAATATGTTGCAATATATCTGTACTATTTGTGCCTAGTGAGAAAACACTAAGCATTTGAATTTCTATCACTTGCTTAAAATGCAATGACTCACAAAAAAAAAAAAAAAAGATGTTTCAACCACATCACAACCAAAGCTCTGCTCCTATATGTGACGTGCAACTGCTCTATTTAAAACAGAGCAAAAATCATCAATTAAGTTATCGGTCACATGTTCAACTCTATTTCCAGGACAATGATCAGTTAGAGTGTACCTTGAACGGGAACGTTAAAATCATGATGACATCTGCGACCACGATATTCTTCAGGTAAATGATGAAGTGAGATTTGGAGGGGATGCGAAAAAACACCCACACTGCCACTCCATTAAGAGTCAGTCCAACCAAGAAAAGTAAGGAGTAGAGAACTGGAAAGACCACCGTCTTCAAAACATTGTCACGGGAACAAGAGGTGTTGCTGCGGCTGCTGTGATTACCAGAGAGCAGGGGGAAGGCTGCAAAACTCTCCATGAGGGATGTCTAAAAGAACAAGAAAAAGCTGTGTTTAAGATGTTCATCGTCAATTTAGTTTGCTCATTATGGTTTAGGTTTTGTAACTAACCTTGGATTTGCTCTGACATGAATCAGTGGAGTCCCATCAAGGTCCAAACGCTGGTCTTAGCTGTTGGTTTGGCTCTCTTTCATGCTGTGTAGAAGTGTGGTCTGTCATGGCACATGTGTTTGGTCTGCACTTTTTAAATGTTGCAAACAATTGTGTGTACATGGGTGATATACAAGCCACAGGAAGACTTTATCTTTTCTTCTCCTTTCCACTTCCTGTCACGAGTAAGAAAAGGCTGCAGACTCCATTTCTGAATTTCTTAAACAGGAATGAAAACTCGAAAGAATGTATTTTTGGCTGCTTAGGGGAAATTGACTTATTACTGATAGAAATCAAGATAAACATCAGAAAACAAGGAGAAAAAACAGAACACTGATTGCCAGAGTTTCGTAAAGTTGCTTGACCTTTAAAGTTGCTCAAAAGGAGTATATAAATAAACACATTAATGATTACATAGTAGATGTGCAGAGGGGTCAATTTGAACTTGCCTCATCATGCATATATCTGCTGCCTGTGTTATTTTAACAGGAAAAGCAACCAGGGCTATGCAGGAAGAGTTATTTGTCACAGTATGAATCATTAAACACATCCTTTCCTTTTTTTTTTTATTCCAGTTTGTTCCTCTACTGCTGCCTATCTCAGCATGCACCACAAAAAGGGAGGAAAAAACAACAACGCAGGTAAAGCATCCATCATTTTAACACACATTCCTGCATAATGACAGATTTAACTGTTTAGTATATGTCCCCAGATAGTGTGATACAAGGCAGTGCAGCTCCCTTTAAAACAAACCGGCTTGGGAGCATATGGCAGTAAAGCATCATGCTCCAAAGTGGAAAAATATATGGAATAGCTTTTGGCAGATGCTTTGCTGATATAAAACTTCCCAACAGCTCACAACGCCATCCAGAGTTGGAACTCACTGCCTTTCTAAGTCATGTTCATATTGTGTTTTCTACCAAGGAGACACTAAAACACAGTCCATGTTGTGAAATTTGGCAATTTCTCATTGAGATGGTTTCACTCTCCAACTTCCCTGCATCTAAACAGAGCATAAGAAACTTCCCCAAGTAGCTGTCTGTTGTAATACACAGCAGACGGAGGTCTGTCTAGGAGTTTTTAAGAGAAGTTTGATTGGGTAGATTGAGTGCCATCTATAGTTTAACGAGAGGACTTTAAAAACAGTCTACTCATAGTTGATGTTGACATAATGTTTGATAATATCACTAGGTCAGATGTCTGACTGATTACAGAAAGCTCACAAGCTTGTACACCAGGAGTTTTTAGCTTTTATAGTGCCAGTTCAAGGTGCAAGATTTACATCAACAAAGAATAACTGGCCCACTACTGTGAAGGAAACAACAGAGACAAAGGCGAGACAGGATAACATAGTATGTTTACATGCACAGACAAGTCAAGCTATGGTTAGCTCCCAGCTGAGTTACTACGTTTCAAAACAATTGACAAAACACCTCAACGAGAGACTAACGGGATATACGTCGAATGATGAAAACACTTTGTCAATCTTACAGCTCTGTATCTTTTGTTTATACAATATGACAGTTTCGTCTTTTTCACATCCTGTCTTCTCGGTCTTCGAAGGTTTTATTTACCACCCGGCTTCATAGTAACCTACTGGCTGAAACTCTTGAGCATGCCCAGAACGCTTCTGCCAATTTCAGAGTGATAGAAGAGAATCCGTGAAAGGGAAACTGTATCTCCACCCGCAATGTCTCTTTATGTGGTCCAACAAAGTTCGATTCAGATGATTTTAGTCAGACTAACATGTTTATATGTATTTTAAAAAGTACAGTTTCATTTTTTATTTTTATGGTGTTTTCAAAGGGAACAGCAATCTGTGGAATAGAAATGAGGGGGCTCCTCTGCTTTGACAACCCACTCACTGTACATGACTGAGTTTTTCTGCCTTTTTACTGTCATATGGACATTTTCCTCTAGCTAGTTTCCATGTTGCCTTTTTTCCCTACATTTTCACCTTTTCTTGGTTTTCCTACTTTAAACAAACTTCCTTGGCTAATGTTGGTTCCTCATGGCAATGGCCTCTGTCAAGAAAAATCAGACTGGTATAATAAAAAACTTTTTATTTTAACCAACTAGGATCAAGAACCCATCACAGCTGAGAAGTAATTGTATAATAAGATCTGGGATAAAGTTAAAGCAGACAGTCTCCACATCTACAAAGCTGTTGACTCTTATCGATTAAAAACACTGTATTTCTTTATGGTCTTTGGTTATAACCGCTTTAGTTCAGTTTCTTTCTTTTAGTTGTAATTTTCTGCACATGTTGGCATCAACTTCTACCCTTATCTCACAATCCAGACGGCCTTTTGCCCTTTGTTTTCTTGTGTGCCAGCGCTAGCATGGCAATGCTGCAACTTCCTGTGTCTGGAACAAGATTTCCAAAGTCAGCAGCATTCACTTCCTAAGCTAATGCTTATCTAAATGTGTTTTGCCCTTGTGGTTGTTGTCAAAGGTGAGCCTGATTTCGAACATATGTACTGTAGGTTAAGTCAAAGTCTCAGCCTTCCATATCTTTATGCTGTGATCCTGTTCCTCATGTGATTTCTGTACATCTGTTTCTGATCATGACTGCATCGTGCATACAGTCTCCTTGAGGACTTTACTCCTTCACTTCATGTTGCTTTTCAGTTTAATACCCGTCAATCTGTGTGTCTAGTCAGCCTCTGGTTTTTCCTCTTTGCTCTCTTGTTCAGAGTTTCACCTCAAGTCTGAAAAAAGTTGGTCAAATGATCGATCTGCTTTTCCAATTATTCCCCCTTTGTTTCCTTTGGCTATCCAGCTCTGAAATCACAGAGTCCTTTAGGACAAGGATCACTCTATAAACCTACTTCTTGTGTTGTTATTGTAGATTTACATGAAATTTAACACAGGTATGATCAAATGGAAGTGCAAGAGTGCACAAGTGCAGACAGAGAAAGCTGCACTCTGTTCCAGCACAGAGTAATCCTGGTCAGCTCCCTCTCAGACATACAGGAAGACAGGAATGAGCAGAGGAAATAAGAAGAGAGTAACACAAGACTTTTCATTTAAACTCCTCTGAGTCTCTTCAACACCCCTCACCCCACCCCTTAAACACACACATGATTTTCCCTCTCCGTAGGTGCAGTCTTTTTCTCACCTCCCTCGTCACCCTATGACCTTTAAGTCACCACTCATCACTTTCACCTCCTGCCAAATCCCACCCCATGACTGCTCAAACACAGCTACTGTCTCGCACGCTTCTCCCCTAATGTATCTGGAGAACGGCGACAGAAAAACTTAATTTCCTCCTAGTGTATGGCATTTTGCCTCCAGCAGCCCTGCTGTCAGCAGAAGTTGGTGGTCTTTATGTAGCCCTGGAGGTGTAAGGAAAAAGCATTCGAAAGAAACCTGGGTGTTTTAGTGCAAATATCAAGCAGACACAAAGCAGTAACAGCTGTGAGCCCACATGATGTGGTGGCAGGGTGAGGCTGAACTGTGACCCCTGACCTTTACAAACACGAGGCTGTTGATCATATTGTCATCATGACAGGTAGACAGACATTCAAAGAGACACAAAGGCAGAGTAAAAAAAGCATTCATGGTGGTCCCAGCTTGTGGTTTGTTTGTGGCTGTCTTTGTCTTTATGTATGAATGTTTATGTGTAAACATTTCCTCCTGCAGGCTTTAAAATTGGCTTCTACTTGCATAGCTGAAATGTGTGGGCCATACTTTGTTTTGACAGTGTAAGGTTTCTCTAGCTACCGCTTCTGCTTGTGTGCTGCTCAGTTTCGGTTCCAGCAGGTCTGCCTCCCATATGGTTGCCCACTGACAAATCTATAGAAGTCCATATGGTGATAAAAGGATTTAGGATACATCAAAAACAACACTGAAAGCTACTGTCATTCTAGTTTATAGAGGATGAAACCACATTTGCTGTCATGCACCATTACGGTGTGACATATCCATGTATGTCAATGATGGAGATGTTTATCATGGAAATTACCTATTTGTCCTTCTACAGCTGCTGTTTTATTTCTGTAGGAGGGCTCTACAACTGCTGACCTAAGAGCATTCCTCCATTTCTCTTGAGCCTCATGTTGTCGGTGTGGGTGTGTTGACCGTCTGCAACAACAGTGCACAGACACACACACACACACATTGATATTTGAATCCAACTGGCCTCTTGACTTGAAAGTTGCACCGGTGAATTATGTCGTTGATTCCATCCTGAGATCCAGTTTTCTCCTTCTTGTAAGCACTTACCTAGCAACAGCTTTTGTTTGGGTATTACCGCTCGGCCTAACTCATCTCTAGGGTCTGGGATGTCCATCAGTGAATGACCTACTAATCCTTACCTGGCTTTTACAACTGTTATTCACAGAAATCCAACCTTTCAGACGGATCTAGAGATATTAAAAATGAGTATTACACACTTGATGGTTACTCATTTTATTCTGAGCCATTAGGATGGTGGTTGATCATTCTCTTACAATGCTGTCCTCATCTTCAATATGGATAATGTCCAATATGTGTTCTCTCTTTGCATTAGGATTATTGCAAGTTTTAACACTGTTTTTTATTCATTTGTTTCATTTATTGGTAGTTCGGTGGATGCACTTGAGCCCAACTTCCCCAAAAGGACAATTATGAGTTTTTATTAGGACTGGGACGATATGCTTTTCTCCTGATTTAAATTGTTTACGATTTTTTGGATGCAATTCAATTTCAATTGCGATTCTACGATATTGTTGATTTTCTCGATTTTTAGTCTGCATTTTTAACACCAGTGAAACAGTTGAATGATTATGATTGTCTCCTGACTATTCCAGAAACCAAAGTTCCCCAAAAAATACACATCACATGTAAGTCAGTTTTTAAGATTTATTCTTAAATTTGAAAAAAAAAAAAAAGATTTTTGAACATAAAAATCGATAAAGAAATTGTAAAACAAAAAATTGTGATACTTATGTGAATCGATTTTTTTTCTCCCATCCCTATATTTTATCACACTGTAGTTGTTTTGCAAATATATGTAGGTATAATTAGTGCTAATTGGTATTTTAAGTGCTAATATGTATTGCTGCTTTGCATCTTTCCCCCCATTAAGTTCCAGTTTCTATCTTTAAGAAATAAACATACAGCCCCATCACAGAGTAGCAAGGCAGTTT